CTACGTCACTGTGTGGGAAGATTTGCATAACGCCGCTCAAATGTTCCAAAAGAGGACGATATGGCTTTGTCATGCCTGGAGCTGATCCGTGCTGGTCGCTGAGGAAATACATCAACTTCGTGCTGTGGATCACCGGATTGGCTTTCACCGTGGACGAAGCGGAGTCCAGCCCGGGGTCCTCACATGTGGTTGACGCAAGCCTAGGGCTGGGTATCGTTCAAAAATTTTAGATACCGATACCGATACCTTGACTTTGATACCAGTTCCTGAACGATACTTTTTTCGATACCAACTTTATGAAATCTTTGTGAAAGTTATTACAAACACTTGATGGTGGTTTAAAGTGAGTTTTGAGTAAAAGCGGAATATAAATCTTATTTATTGTCTTATGCAGGCATTAAATTGGGATCTGTTATGTGTGTCTGTTATATAAATATATATATATATATATATATATATTAGAGATCGACCGATATATCAATTTACCGATATTTTTCCCGATATTTAAGCATTTTACAATAATCGGATATCGGTTTTGTAATATCGAATTCACCGATAAACGCCGCCATCTTGTGAATGTTTTGAGAATTGCGCGCAGGATCACCATTGCAGAGCATCTGAGGGGAAACAAGAGAGTTTCAGAGTGTTTATGATTAGAGATCGACCGATATATCGATTTACCGATATTTTTCCCGATATTTAAGCATTTTACAATAATCGGATATTGGTTTTGTAATATCGGATTCACCGATAAACGCCGCAATCTTGTGGATGTTTTGAGAATTGCGCGCAGGATCACCATTGCAGCGCGTCTGAGAGGAAACAAGACAACAACAACGGCGTGCACAGGTACTTGATTTACTATAGTTAGTAAACTTTATTTAACATAACAGCCATTAATGCACAAATTAGATGTATTACATAAATGCCTGATATGCAGTTTATGCAGCTTGGCTCGAAGAAATAGAGACGAACTCACAGAGTCACGTAAAATAATCCGTCAAGTCATATCCCAATAAAGACGTAACTTTGCGTGAATTAAATAATATGCAACCATGAATGGGTGCATGTTGGAAATAAAAGTGCTGAATTAAATTTGCTCTCTGTTGTCTGCTGCTCATCGTCTCATGAAGTCGGAGTCACGTAGGCTATATTAACATACACACTTGTAGAAGGTTCCTAGTAATAAGAATGACTTTCTACAGTTGAATTTATTTATTTATTATAATTCACCAAAATAATTTTCCATTCAGAGGTTTGTTGTACATTGCTAGTGTCCAGACTGATTTAATACAGGTGACATTTTGCCAATACCTCTCTTCTTATGAACACAGTAAAGTGCCATACTCAACTATTTACCTAAATTACCCATCTTTATACAAGTACACAAACTTTCCATTGTTGCAGCTCACTTTCAGTAAGTCAGTTTGCATTTACTTCAACCTTGTAAAATCATTCATTTGAATGAATGATTGGGCATTGTTTACGGGAATTTGCAGACGGTCCCTAAACAATGCGATTATCCATGCAATAGAACTTAAAACTAATTTATCTCGCGAACAGATTTGATCTGCCAAAGAAAAATCTCAAAAGATAAATAACTGTATCAATAAAATCGCAGCAGCGATACTTTATATTGGTTCGCATTCATTCCCCTCACAGATCACAAGACTAACAGCAACATTATGACTGCAAGCATCGAAGCAATCATTTACACGAACATACAAAAACATAAAATCGCTCAGTTCTTACATACTCCGTATGTTTTCCTCACATAGACCTACTTTTTATTGAAATATTTCACTAATAATTCACTCGTTTTTCTTCTCTAATCCTCAATCACAAAGACTGTTGATGTTGATCAGATACCATGCAGGCTATAATTTGCATTCATTTTCATTTATTTGTGCAGATCGGCTTTTTTAAAGAAACAAAATCAGCGCACCTTATCCACCTTTTTCCTGGGGGCGCTGCTGTAAAAACGATTATGGGTATAACTTCCACCGGAAGTAGTAGCAGCGTTGACTGAGTTGCGCCGACGGTGAAATGTTTTGTTTATGTGCGGTTTGTTTTTCAGGCGGGAATATATTAAAATGGCATTACAAAGCTCTGGAACAACCTGTGCTGTCCGTGGATGCACTTGTAACCAGACGAAGTTTAATTTGTGGCTTAAAGAACAGTGCTATATACACAAACCTAAAGTGTGCGGAATGCACTTGCGAGAGAAGGTACAGTTTTCATCGCCTTCCTATAGAAGACGAAGCTAAGCGAAACTGGCTCAAAAACCTGAACTTAAAGCGGTCATATGATGCGATTTCAAGTTTTCCTTTCTCTTTGGAGTGTTACAAGCTGATTGTGCATAGATAAGATCCCTGAAGTTGC